AATGCGAGGCGAGTTCAGAACCAAATCACAAACAACCATATAAATTAAAACACGTGCTTACGACATCTGACTAGAAAAACCAGCCGCGTTGCTGCCGGCAACATCGGGCGCCCAGTAGCGTTGAGGCCATTTTTCATCGTGGCCGTTGTGACACGAGAGAAACAATTGTCGTGTCAAATGAAATGTTATGTCACCAACGCGAATGCAGGCTGGCCGTGAAAACGATTCTAGTGTATGAATAATCAATTGCTGGCCGCCTCTACCGCCGGATGTCCATAAATTATACGCAACGATTTCTGAGCGCCTGTTGCTACGGACATTCAATTAAACTGCATTTCTGCATTACACTACAGTATGCCTCGCTTTAGGGATAAAGATTCGTCGCACATGCCACGAACCGAGTTCAAGGGCCCCCGAAGTTTCGCGTCATCGTCAGCAGACAGCTAGAGTTTTTCTGGCACCATATTGGGAGGCACGGAGTGGGTAATGGTACAGCAAAAAATGGCTTGTCTTTACTTGACAGAAGTGCGGATTTGAATCGAATCGCAATGTAGACGTTTTTCATTATTCGCTCATTCCCCTAGCAAAACAGTTTCTTAAATGTCCTCTGCGCATGAGTCCTCCAGGACCAGATTTGACGGTGTACCTCACCACGCCTTTGCTCGCAATTGTCCGGGGAGGAAGAGAGCATTTAAGCCGACCATTACTCTACGGCATTTTAGCACCTGCAGTGCAGATGCATCTCCTATCGTTTTGTCGGCTAGATGAACCGCTTGAAAGATGTTTCAAGAGTAACTACTCTGAAGTTCATACTTTTGATATGCTACAGCATAGACATCAAATCAGTGGTTCTTACTGCTGAGCATTTTAAATGGCACATAGCTCCACAAGGCCAGAGTTATAGGATCCTCCAGACTCATTGTACGCAATCGATACAACTGCCCCAGAAACCGGTAATGAATTTTGCATGAAAACGATGCTCTACGTCATAATTCCTTATCCTGCATTTGTAAACGCTCTTCCTGGTCGGTGCTTATGGCAGTACAATGTGCTTACAGCATATGTGAGGAACCGTGGCCATTGGAGATGCTGCAGACGTCGACGTATTTTTGGATCAGTTTCGATTCTTTAGTTGCTTGCATTTTATAAACTTAAGCTCGTTTCATACTGGTAGATAATTAGTGAAATTAGCATGAAGAAAATAACATCAGGACGAGATTAGTTTTGACACACTTCAGAAGGCAAAATCAAGTAGCAGAATCTGGTGAGTTGGCGAGCTGCGACTATCTACCGTATTCCTGGAAGCGATGCTGCTAGTTGCATCGTAGCAGTTGGGAAAATTAATTAAACAATTCTGCTGTAAATCGAGGATCTGTAAAAGTGTCATCAATTATTGTTCGAATTTTTTTGAAATAGTCGCTGCTTCAGGGCT